CCTCTTAGTTAGCAGGGTTAGGAAAATATCTCACCATATCCTACTTTCTGCAGGCTTCAGAAGTTGTGTGTCGTTGGACACCCCATCGTTCTCTGCCGCAGTTCATTTTCTGTGCTTTCCCCCTCCCAATTGAACTAATGATCTCTCTGGCTTTTTCAGCCAGGTTCCCTGCTGCTCTTTTTCTCCCCTTCCTACTGTAACTCTAAACACCATAAGTAAGGCCAAGCTGATGACACTGCAAATTGAGGGATGGAGCCCTGAAACTGAAAATAGCCTACAATTTTCTTCCTGATTTGATGCATTGGTTCATGCTCTTCTGTATTTCCACCTCTTTAAAAAACAGCAATTCTGTAATAGCTGCCGTTTTTTGGTGAATGGCACTCTATGAGGTAGTATCATTTTAGTCTGGCATTATAGCAGACTGAAATGATGGGCACCACAAACCAAAATGCAAAACCCTCTCCAGGAAGAAAGTTATCGATTAGAGATTTCTACAGCATCTGTACTTCCCACCCCCCTCCTCTGTCCATAGCCACATCTTGTTGGGGGGCGACACAATGGAAACATCCAGGAGTCAGCCTGGCACCATTCATCTCGCACAGATCTGTGCTGGCAGGTTGTGCTTTAAGGGTACGATCTAAATGGTGCATCCTTGGCTTTTAAAGACTTCGCTTCTGAATGAACTGGTTGGACTTGTCATGAGGTACAATTACACAGCTGTTGAAAGCACTACTTAGCTCTTCAGGTGATGGTTTTTTAAAAGGCATTGGGCAATTCTGTTGAAGCGAGGCATATTGATGGCTTTTGAAAGTCAGCAAGCTAGTTTGGGCCAAACTTCACATAGTGAACCTGATCTGTGGTCAGTGTATCCTGGTACAGTGGTACCTCAGGTTACATACGCTTCAGGTTACATACGCTTCAGGTTACATACGCTTCAGGTTACAGACTCCGCTAATCCAGAAATAGTGCTTCAGGTTAAGAACTTTGCTTCAGGATAAGAACAGAAATCGGGCTCTGGCGGCGCGGCAGCAGCAGGAGGCCCCATTAGCTAAAGTTGTGCTTCAGGTTAAGAACAGTTTCAGGTTAAGAACAGACCTCTGGAACGAATTAAGTACTTAACCCGAGGTACCACTGTACTTCATTTACATCTTGTGTCACAATCGTGATGAAGGGGTGTGGATGGACCCTGTGCTTCATCCATGTCTGTGATCAATCATCAATTTATCAATGAAACAAATTGGTATGGTCAGTGACCAGTATTCAAAAAGGAACTTTGTGCAAATATATGGAAAGGTACCAAATGAAACAAAGTAGAGAACCATGACAATAAAATGACTACGAACTGTATATCTGTAGAACACTGGGCACAGAAACAAAATTAAAAGTTTTCTCAAATGAATCCTTGGTGAGTGCCACATGCAGAAGCACAACATTTAGCCCCCTGGAAGAGGTGGTTGTTTTCTGATCAGGAGAGAGAGAGAGAGAGAGATAAAATGCATCTGATCATCCTGGGGATTAGTGTAAAGGGGCCAATACATAAATCTTACACATATCACAATATATTAAGCGATATATCAAAATTGCTTAATCTACTATGGTGATTAAAATCATCCGCCCTTGCCCCAACTACCCAAAGCTGTTCCTAATATACACATTTTTAATGCAGTTTTTCCTAATATGTGCTTTTTTTACAGAACAATTTCCCTTAATATAATGTGTGCTTGTATGGTATTTTCACTAATACATGCACTTATATGCACATTTTATCTGGAACCTTAATCACATTTCTCCCCAGAATTAGTCTGCAGGGGGGAATGTCATATCCCACATATAAAGAAGAAGGAGGAGGAGGAGGAGGAGAAGGAGAAGAAGTAGTCTGCTTCCACCCACCCTAAGAAATGTTTTGCTCATTTTATTAAAACTTATATGGCCTAGGCAGAAACCATCTGCTAGCATTAGAATTTGCCAAAGGCACTTGGCTTTCTGGGTTGCAGGTTCATGGCTATCACCAAGTATTATCCTAACCACATGTTCACCTCCAAACAGCAATCTCTAGTGATGAGGTTGAGAGTCGAAACAGGTCGACTGAGATATAAGAAGAAAGGATCAGCATGCTTGGGGGTGGACTTGCTTCTGGGTAGACATGGCTAGGGTAGTAGCCTCTCTTCTGCTTTTTAAGGATTGCAGCCTTCATTTGTTAAATTATGGGGGAAATAGAAACACTTGTATCCATTTTAATAGATTAAATTATTAAATAATCCTCAAATAACCATTCATAAGATAAAGGAAAAAACACTTTTCACAATTGATCCAGAAAAGGAGAATGATTAATGTTAGGCCAACAACAAGCAGCAAATTGCCATTCAGCAGAGCACACTGGAGTCCATAATTATATATGAACTAGTAATCAACAAAAATTGAATCTACGATTTAGTCCTTTGCGTCTATTTTGTGTCACTTCTCATAAGTTGCATCTGGTCAAATATTCTCTGCCCTCCCTCTATGCAGTTTGGATGCAAGCTGTAATTATCTGGAATGAGACAATGCTCTTTTATTAAAGTAGCTTTTTACCGAAATTAAATGCTTTTAATTGACAATTACAGTACATCTTCAGCAACTTGCTCCAAGCAAGTTGGCATTGAACCATCTCAGACAAGGAAGCCACTTCGCAATTTATGTTTATGAGCCCCATTACAAATGTTCTGTCGGGGTGCCCCCACGATGCCACAGATCTCATGATGCACATGGGCCATGCTTTTAGCCCTTCCAGAACATCTGCAAAGGATTGTAGGAGGATGTCTGGAACTGTACATCAGACTTTGCCATCTCTCTAAAATCCACTCTGCACACCTCTGAACTCCCTGCTTAAGCTAAGGCCAGTAATCCCATGCTCCAGTGATAATGAAGATGATGTATTGGGTGGAGGGGCGGGGGTAGGAACTGCAGGCACCTGTGGAAGTGGCTATGCTTAGACCAATAGAGAGAGGAACACTTATAAAACCTGTGAGCTTTCTTGACTGCAATTTTAAAAAGCCTGCACGCTACCAATCAGAATTTCAAACACACAAACACACACACAGAGAGAGAGAGAGAGAGAGAGAGAGAGAGAATGCCCTTTAGGAACAAAATAAGCTGCCTAATACTGAGCGAGACTACTGCTCCATCTAGCTTAGTATTGTCTGCACTGACTAACAGAGACTTCTACATACAAAGCAGATGCTCTACCACTAAGCTACATTTCTCTGACAATTTTCAAAGGCATTTTCCCCATTAACTGATAGACAACTGTGATGGTGGTTTTGGGGAAACACAGACAGAAGAATGACACAGCACCGCTGGGCAATAGATTTCCAGGGTCTCAGCTAGAGAACAGTCTTCTCCGTCATTTTCCACCTGACCTACCATATATTTGTTCACTTTGCATTTGGACTCTGCTTAAGATATTACAACCAAGTTTCGCATGATCATTCCAGAGATTCAGAAGCAGGTTTCTGTGTGTGTTTGGATACAGCTGGGTGTCATTTTGAATCAAGGTGGTACACTGAACTTTTCAAAATGATAATGATGTTTCTTAGAATTCAAGCATGAGGCTGTTTGAGATATATAGGCCATGGGCTGAACATGGGACCTTGTTTGTGAAACACATTTGCTCTATCACTTAGTTATGGCCACTTTTGCAACTTGGTTGGATTACATAACAAACAGGAACTTTGCTTTTGGAAAGCTCATAAGGGCAAACCTTACATGCAATTGGCTTTTTAAGGTGGCAGACATGATTTGGTGATCTTAATTGGGCCCAGATCTGACCCGGACCAATCTGGGCCCAACCCAACCCAAGGCCCAATCCAGGGCCTGAGACCAATTGATTGCTTTCCACAGCCCCTAAGTTAAAAATAGCATTTTAAATTCTAATTAAACGTGCAGTTGGTAATGAGGAGAGTGAGGAAAGCAGATGATAGAAGCAGAGACTCTGCCTCCACTGTTCTCTACCCCACCCTCCTCACAGCCGGACCATTCTCCAACCCTTTGACACCCACAGACAGACCCTGTCAGACCCAGGGCAATCTGGGGCTGCCTCAACCCACACTGGATAATTGGCCCAATTCAGTTTGGATCTGGAATTTGTCTGGACTGGGTGCACAGCCCTAATAAGCACCCATTGCTTTCATTATGGGATTTAAATACATACACGAAGGAAAAGGTTTATACATTTCTACCCCCATGGGCATATATGTATATGGATTCTCTGTGCTGCTCTTTGTTGAAAGTTAGAAGAGGGCAGGAGGATTAATGAGCTTAAAGGATCAAGTACAGGAAGCTTTGGGGGTTGAATATTAATGCATTGTATGATTTCAGAGGTGAAGTGCCATAGAATGAATCGTAAGCCTGAGCTGAACTGGCTTTTGCTTAAAAGGTTATTTGGTTTACATTATCTTTTGCATAGAAGAAACACACTTATTATGGACAGTCAAGGGTAAGGATGTGTTTAGTTTGCAAGCTCACGACTTATCCATAGCTAAACACTTTGAGCTGGGAGTTTGCTTCCAGGCTGTGTAATCTATTTGGTGTGTCTAGTCCAGGAGGAAAAGGTGTCTCAACTTGGACAGTTAATTCAAAACTAGGTTTACTTACTGACAAAGTTCTCTCAAGGCTAGCTCAGATGTCAATTCAGGGGCCTTTAAAACCCTACCTCACATGAATGGTGGCTTCCTTTTAAAAAGTTTTTATTTGTAAAAAAATAAAAATAAATTCTAATTGTGTAAAACAAAAGCTGCAGCATAGAAAGGTGGAGTTATAAATCTTAAACTAGAAACAAAAATGTATGCTGTCTGTTTCTGAAACTGACATATTTTCTGTGTCAAGACTTTCATCTTCTCCTGGGCATTTGATGGGAAATGGTCTAGGTGTGTGAAGACTTTGTCACCCTTGGGTGCTGAAAAAAACCTGTTTCCCACCCTGTGGAATCTGGTGTTGACTTATGGATTGATTTGTTAAATTTAGGCCATAGCTCAGTGGTAGGGCAGCTGCTTTGCATGCAGGCGGTCCCAAGTTCAATCTCTGGCATGTCCAGATAGGGCTTAGAGAGACCCTGCCTGAAATCCCAGAGAGGCACTGCTGTGCTGCGTATGCAATACTAATTAAGAGGGGCCAATGGCCTGACTCACTATAAGGCAGTTTCCTATGCTGCTGTGTTCATTTTTAATAACTGTGTATGTCTTTAAAACTTATTGTAAGTCACCTAAAGGCCATCCTGTCTTCAGCATCAAACAAATTTAATAAAAATAATAATGCCTCATAATTATAATTTTATAATTGCTATAGGCCATGAAGGCTAAGTCTTACCTCTACTGTTGAGATGGCAACCTCTGAAAAGCAGTTGCTGAGGAACACAGGTCAGGAGGGCACTATTGCACTCAGGCCCTGCTTGTGGGCTTTCCATAGTTGGCCACAGAGAGAGCAGGATGCTGATCTAGGTGGGCCTTTGGCCTGATCCAGCAGGCTCTCTGCTTTTCCATGCAGGAATGCACAAGAAGAAATAGTACTTCTGCCTAGGCTCAAAGGGAAATCCTTGTGTTCTCCTTGCCTCCAACCATGTTTCTCCAAAGGAGATTCTCCATTTTTTATTTTCCTCTTATGTCTTCCTGTGTGGAGCTTGTTTCATTAACAAGTCCAGCCATTACTGATTTGAAGAGGATGGAGGAGCTCTGCAAAGCTTCTCTTTCCCTCTCCCATTCCCTCCCCTCCACTCTCTCAACCAAGGAATAAAACCTAGTCAGCTATTGGAAAATCTACCTGATAGTATCCTAGACCAATAGTTGCATCAGTGCAGTCATACCAGGCAGCCTTGGAAGCAGGTTGTACAAATGTCAATCCACTGAATACATTACTAAAACCCTGTGCACTAAGCTGCTATACGCTCTGTACCATGAGCAGCAAGAGAAGGAAATATCTCCATTATCCTTGTCGCTGCTCTTCTTCTTCCTCAAGACTGTACCTTCCTGCCCTTGTCTTCCTCCAAGTGCCCTGGCAGAGCCCATGCCTGGAACGCATCTGGCACTTTGCCCTTTGATGTCACTCCATTAATTTGAAGGAAGCGGCGCCAGATCCATACGGCCTCGTTCTCCTCCTCCTCTCCTTATTGTCATGCAGTACTATAATGCACCCTACATTGATGTGCCTGGCAGGAGACAACTATATTAGCAGTAAGATATGCAGGCTGGTGCCAGACTCAAGAATGCTGGCAGCAAAAGTCTCATACAAAAGGGGCAGGCAGGGCTTGGGAAACAAGGGAATAATTTAATGCAAATGTTCCGCACTGCTCCCCAGGCACAGAGATTAGGTATGTCAAAAAACTTTAAGTGCTCCTTCTGGTTAATAATATGGAGAACTAATTATTACTTACTGTACATAAGGTTTTCTGAAATGGCTGTGTTAGTCATTTTCACCCCTCCCGCCTCCCTCCTGGAAAAGCTCCCTTAAGCACAGCCTGCAAAAAGTATATTTCACCAGAGTGCTCTGTAGTTCTTTCCCTGCAAAAGTGGGATGCTAATTGTAAAGTTATGACTTTAACTGTGAGTGCCATTCACTTAACTTATTTTTACTCCCTGGTAGACTAGCTAATGGGCTTGTGTTTGAAAGCAGAGAGGGAGAGAACACATTTCGCCAATGCAGTTAAGCACACAGTAAGCTTGTACGAGAGGCTAAGCAAAATCAAAATGCACCCCTAATTTCTGGAATGATACTCTTAAAAGCATGTTTTTTTTACAGAATCTGCCCACCACCACCTTCAAAGCAGTCTTCTGTAACTGAATAGAGATGGAGATAGAGACAAATTGGGAAGATTCAGAACAGATAAAAGAAAGTACTTTTTAACATGGTGTGTAGTTAAACTATGAAACCCACTCCCTCAGAACGCTGAGATGGCCATCAACTTGGATGGCTTTGAAAAAGGATTGCATAAATTCATGGGCGAGGAGGATATAAATGGCCACTAGCTATGGTGGTGTGCTCTGCCCCCATAGTTGCAGGCAGTAATGCTTCTGAATACCAGTTGCTGGGAGCCGCAGGAGAGGAGAGCTCTTGTGTCACGTTTTGCTTGAGGATTTCCAACAAGCATCTGGTTGGCCACTGTGAGAACAGAATGCTGGACTAGATGGGTCATTGGCCTGATCCAGCAGGGCTTGTCTTGTGTGCTTAAATCTGATAATGTGTCTAAAGTAATTTCGAAACAAATTTTCAGTTGCATTGTTCTTCATCTCACACCTATCTGAGATTTCACATCCTTATTTCATCCGAGGAGGTACCTGAATTTATAAGCCTTTCCTAATTTAAGCCTAAGGTCGCAATAGAGACAGAGTCACAAGAGAGGGAATGATTTGCTGGATGGAAAACACAAGCTCTCATTATTCACCAAGCGGCAAGAACATTTTTTTGGAGTGGGAAACGTGGCCAGTTATCATGCCCTTTCTCCCTTAATCTGAGTCTTGCTTAGAAAACCATAGTAATTACCTCCATAATCAAGTTTCCTAACAAGACAGAAACTTTTCCTCTCACTTTCCCTTCCATAAAGTCAATTTGCAAACCATGGGGGGGGCTGGCTGACTACTAGAATTTCTCAGACTGTGAGATTGAAGACAAACAAATCTGCCGACGGAGACAGTATGTTATTAGAATCAAGATTATGATTAATTAGTCACTTATTCTGAGTGATTTACCCTGCTCCTTTCTCCACTGGTGTTGCCATAGCCTGCTGAGGACATCAGGTGTGTGGTTGCATTATGCATACTAAATAGGGAATTGAAACAATAGGTTGCTAAAAAGCTGCCAGTGCATTGGAATATAATGGCTCATAAACTGAAAGCAACGGAACTTGAGTTTCCATCATAATGTCAGACAGGCTCATTCTGAAGGAAGTTACAAACTTGGAAAAGGGAACCTCAGACTTCAGAATCTGCAGCCTGAAGACACCAATTCTCAAGCTACAGGACCACACAAGCCTTGCTGGAAACCTTCACAGAAGTGGAAGGCCACAAAGCAGATGAAGATGAACTTCCAGTTTTAGGAATAGGGGTGATGGTTCCTTAATTGGAAATGTTTAGGAAAGCACTATTGTAAAGATATGTTCTGCATTCATTTTCAATGTTGTACAGAAGTAGTGAGTTTAGAAGGCATATCTGCTCTTCTACTGCAGGGGTGTGTAACCTGTGGGTCTACAGATATTGTTGAGCTCCAGCTCCCATCATCCCTGACTATTGGCCATGATGGCTTGGGGTGATGGGAGCTGGAGACCAACACAACAGGAGGTATTTGGAATTGTTGGCTCATTGATATTAACTTTAGTGGTGCAGATCCAACTGTTTTGGGAAGAAATGGGAACTGGATTCACTCCCCTATAAGCTGAACAAGGGATTTAGCCAAAATGGCTACAGCTAGAAATGTTGAAGTTGACAGCACCATTGGCTTGAGACTGCAGATTTAATTTATATCCAGGAATTGTGTGTGTTAACCCCTTTTGAGGAATAGGGTTGGGAGTCCTGATTTTGGAAGGGATTAGGTCCAATAGGCTTCTGCCTTCTGGAAGAAGGTATAGGGTTATAAAGGCCAGGACTAGCCGCCTGAGAAACAGTTTCTACGCAAATGCAATTCTGGTTCTAAATGCAGCATAAGGGGTCACTATAGTATAGTGTATTTTAAAATGGGGTTTCACAGTTTTTAGGGGTTTTTGAATGTTTTATGTAGTTTTATGTAGTTTTTATGTAGTTTTATGTAGTTTTTATGTAGTTTTATGTAGTTTTTATGTAGTTTTATGTAGTTTTTCAATTTCATTGTTCTGTATGGGACATGACAATAAAGATATCGTATATTGTAATATTCCCCATGCAGAAGCTGCCTTACAGGCTAGGGATGGGGAATTTCCACTATTAGGCATCTGAACATGCCACAGAGTGCGTGCAGAGTAGACCACACAGATGGAAACACTGAAGAGACACAAAAATATCTTTGCATGGTTTAATAACAAAACTCCTCTAATATATATCTTACATAGTATCTATAATCGTCACCCATCCATCCACCAGAGGGCAGAGCAAGGGACATAAAGGTAAAGGGACCCCTGACCATTAGGTCCAGTTCGTGACTGACTCTGGGGTTACAGCGCTCATCTCGCTTTATTGGCCGAGGAAGCCGGTGTACAGCTTCCGGGTCATGTGGCCAACATGACTAAGCTGCTTCTGGCGAACCAGAGAAGCACACAGAAATGCCGTTTACCTTCCCGCCGGAGCGGTACCTATTTATCTACTTGCACCCTGACGTGCTTTCAAACTGCTAGGTTGGCAGGAGCAGGGACTGAGCAATGGGAGCTCACCCCGTCAAGGGGATTCGAACCACCGACCTTCTGATCGGCAAGTCCTAGGCTCTGTGGTTTAACCCACAGCACCACCCGCGTCCCTTAGTAAGGTACATTCACAATTGCTGACACAGCTAATTACAGTGACTTATCGGCACCAGCTACACTGCTACACAGCTTTAAAAACTAGGTCAGGATATGCATCCTGGCTTTTAAAGTGGTACACACCCTGTGGAACAATAATGAACCCTAACATTTAAACAAACTATCCCACATCCACATCCACTCAGAAGTTGTTTGCTTCAGCACCCATCATCCCTGACTGTAAGCCATGCTGGCTGGAACTAATGGGAGCTGGAGTTCAAACATCTGGAGGGCCATGGGTTCCCCATCCCTGGTTTAAGTAATGGTGATAAGAGCCAGATGTGCAAATGTATTGTCTTATTTGAAAGGGATAAATCACACTTGCAAAATTGTACATCAAAGTTGAGGCATAATCTACAAATACAATAAAATATGAGCTGTTTGGAATTCATTCCCCTGCAGTAGTATTTCAAAGGTTGCTATTTTCAGTTCTGCAAGTGGTGTCAGTGAGCTGGGATTGCCCTGAAGGAGTGAGAAGAAGCTTATTGCTGGCATAGCTGGCTCGCTGACACAACATGAGAAATTTCCTTCCGTCACCCTGTACCCTCAAGTATGCAAAAGTGATTCGATTGTTGCTGTG